TTTATAATTATTAAATATGTTTAAGAATTGGAAAAATTGGAAAAAGAATAAATAAAACAAAAGTTGATTCCATTATTATTTTTTTTTTCTCTAATTTCTTTAATTTTGGATCGGATGTCCAATAACATCGCCAAACGAATATGAATTTAACAATCAAATATCCATTGGATTATCAGATCAGAAGATTATTCTTATCGGATTGAATCGGATATCGGCAGATCATATCCATATACAATCCATTTACAACTCTAGTTTCAGTGGATACATTTTTGTTCTTTTTTCTTATAGCTTCATTAATATCCGTTTCTTTTGATCTATTGGGCATTATCTTGTGTTGCTACAGGCATGTAACATTCAAACATCTATAGACCTAAGTATAAATGGACCTGTTGGACAAGTCTATTCCCTCATCGCAATTATAGCTTTTCTCCGTTACAGTGGTAATCTCCCTAGTTCTTTCAATTTCTAGAACCGTAGCATTTTTTAGTTTATTTGTGTATATTTTTGGTAATAGTTGAAAAAAGAAACGCCTACGATAATTGTAAGGTCTTATGCAAATATCATTAAAAATGCAAAATGTTCCCATATGATGAACTAAGAAAAAACATGCTTAAAATGAAAAAGAATCGGTAGATGTTACATAGCCCATGTTTGATATAGATTTTTTATAATTCTTCTTTTCTCAATCTTATTTTTAACCACATTCTTTTAATAAAATAATTTTGCAAGTAAATCTATTATTTTATTTTATTTTATTTTTTAACCACACGTTCTCTCAATATAATCATCACTTTTCACAAAATATGTTATCAGAAAATTTACATAAAAAAGCAATAGTTTTCAAGATATGCCAGTTCTTTCTTCATAGGTATGATAGTTTCTAGTCCCTTTGAATTCTGTTGTTTAGATGGTAATTGCCTATGCTATCGAAGCCCAAAAAATGTACACCACATGATTGTGGATGCTCAGATACAAATAATTGTTGGATAATTTCAACATATAATGGGGCCACACGTTGTATATTGAAATGTGCGGTGCTATTGTTTAAATGACATTAGTCAATTAAAGTGATCCGATA